GTGACGTCACGGTAGCTACGTCCATCTGTTATACAGTCTGTGGTTTTAGCACTTAGCGTCACTGGTAACACTTTATCATGAGTTCACACTGTGATGTGTGATTTAAGCATCAGCAAACAGTGACTCCATCATTTCTACGGCATGACTCCTCAGTCGTTTATAATCACAGTTATTAATGATTTACTGCTCATTAGCAGGCTCATCTGTGATTATGAACTACTGAGGAATCACGCCTCATAAAAGAGCAGAAAGAAGCAAAACTCAGAAATAAAAGAACTGTCAGAAGAATTTATTGTTTTTCTAAACCAATTTTTTACTTTTTTTCTATTTAATTCCACTAAAGACAAAGATCAAAACACTTGATGGTGGATTTATTATGTTGCAGAGGAGAACAGACGGCCAAGAACAATGATTACACCTTTTTGTCAGAAATTATTCCTCGATTGAGAGAAAAACAAACAGCTGTTCAGGGAATTTCTTCTTTACTTTTACTTCCACAAAGTTTTCAGGCGAGCAGCAGAAAACCTCCGTCGGCCAGCAGGGGGCGCAGCTCCTCTGCCGGGTGACGCTGATGCCGGGTGACAGCAGCCGGTCGATCGTCAATAGCAGCAATCGATCGGCTGCTGTTGCATAAGCAGCTGTTGGAGTCGGAGGGAAGCGGCGGTGAGGCAGCAGGTAGGAGCTCCAACACTTTCTAATCCGATTATCTGACGAGAAACTGCAGCTGCTGAACTGGTTCTGACTCAGACCGGCAGAATTCAACCAGAACCCAACAGATGAGATTCAGATTTAACCTCAAAGCTTCGATTTTACTGGTAATAATTAAAAACCAGAACTTGTACTTGCTTATTTGCTCTGTGTGTTGCTGTAAATACTAATTGTTGGGTCTTCTTCACACAGCAGCAGCTTCTCCTTCTGACCTTATGTCACATTTCAGGCTTTCATTCACAAATTCACACATAAACGTGCATGAAAATGAATTGAATGTGGAAAATATCGGCTGTTGTGGCTGTTTGGTGTCAACGAAGCAACTGAAGTATTCCTGAAAATATGTTTGAAGATTCTTCTGTCGCACAATGTTGTGTTTAACAGAATCAACAGATTGATCAGCATTAGATAGAAGAACTGAGCAAAAGGTCACTAAAGGTCAGCAAAGGTTTATTTCATTTGTTGACAACAAACCTAAAACAAACACAAACAGACACACAACAACCACAAAGAGACACAAAACATCCACAAAGAGACACACAACAACCACAAAGAGACACACAACAGCCACAAAGAGACACAAAACAACCACAAAGAGACACACAACAACCACAAAGAGACACACAACAGCCACAAAGAGACACAAAACAACCACAGAGAGACACACACAACAGCCACAAAGAGACACA